ACACACACACACACACACACACACACACACACACACACACGATGCGCGCGGGCGCAAGACAAGGTATATAATTATACGTCTTACGTAAGATTAAATGTGAGAGTTGGTGAAATCGGGATTTAGAGCGCGATAGGAGAAGGGTGAAGAACTTCTCCGTTTGGAAGTGGATGAGTGCTTGTTTCGTAGAGCTCGTAACCTGAATATTTTAAAACCGCATCTACGATCCTTTCCATAAAACCGATAGAACCGTAACAGTTCCTGCAGAGCCTCTCGATCACAGCTTATATGCCGGTCCTTCAGTTTTCTCTCAGAATAAGTTTAATCGTATATACGAGAGGCATACCAAAAGTTCTTTACCTGACCATGAAGGAATAAAGGTAGAAGGCTGAAATTTCGTACTAACCGTAGTTTTGTTATATGTAGTGGCCGCCAAAAGTTACACTTTTTTGCCATTGGTGTATGACCTTGAAATGACCTTGAGAATTGAAGACCCTCTCTTTGTCAGAAAACCAGCCCTCCACCGCTTCTTTGACACCATTATCACTTCAAAATGCCTTCCTTTTAAATCCTTTTTCTGTTTGGGGAATAAAAAAGTAAGATTGGGCTAAATCTGGAGAATAGGGTGGATGTGGCAAAATTCCATAGCCACTTTCTCGAGTAGTTTTGGTAGCTTTTCTTGGAGTGTGTACTTGCGCGTTTCCGTGAAGCAGCAAAATGCCTTTTCGGATCTTTCGTGTGCGTTTCCTCTGCGTTTTTCTTTAATAGCCTCCAGTACTTTTTTTAACTGGTTAGAATAATGGTCTCCGGTGATCGTATGTCCATTTTCAAGATAAATTGTCATAATCATTCCACCTTGGTCCACCTAAAAATGATAGCATCACTTTTGATATTACTTACAAGTCTATGTTCGCTGCATGATAAAAACAATTAGGAAAAGTCAAATACAGTTTCTTGGACGTTTGAATAGACATAATGACCTTGAACATCTTGCTGTCATTAGCGAAATTGAAGGCAAACGAGGCAGGGGTAGACCTAGAACAAAATACTTGGAGAGCCTAAACAGACAGGTGACGGGGAAAGATCCCGATAATGTACTTTTTTTGAGAAGCAAAAGAATGAATGGAGACTTATGATCACTCTGATGTAGGTCTCCGATCTGGCACTTGATGATGAGTCTATGTAAGCTACTTGCATCAAAGACAGCTATTCATATTAAAATTGTACAGATCGATTGTTTGCAGTTAGCGTTTTTTTATATAAGAGGATATGAGTCTATTTCACCCCTCCGTTCAGACCTTACTTGACCTTCTACGGCCATCCGTGGTCTCTATTCTCTCTCTCTCTCTCTCTCTCTCTCTCTCTCTCTCTCTCTCTCTCTCTCTACGGGACATACATCGAGGTAGCCATGACATCATACCGAAAGACGATTTTAACCTGCTTTTTTATTTAAAGGAAGCCCAAAATAAACTTTTGTCAATAACAAAGTATTGGAGGTAAAAGGTCAAAGATCTATGAACAAGATATTTAGGATCTCTGGAAAGAGAGAGGGAGAGAGGAATTGGGAGCATCACAAAAACATCACTAGCGACACACCGGATTGTGGTATACATGTATATGGTTAACACCTGTTACGTTGCAGAAAGGTTGGGTGCGCGTAAAGGCGCTGCTATTCAGTGCAGAAATCTCCTGGGTAATGCTTTGTGCTTTTGTCCTTTTCGTTGATCTGTGACCCTCAAAACTCTGCTTGTGAAATGGGCGGCGCTGTGTCTAGCAGCGTTATATATATATATATATAAAATGTACACCATCAATAATAAATAAAGTTCTCATCTATCTCTATCACTGTCTTATTTCTCTCTCTTTCTCTCTCTCTCTCTCTCTCTCTCTCTCTCTCTCTCTCTCTCTT